CACCCACCCCATCTGAAACAGTGAGGCGTTTCTATTTCAATCGAAGAAATCAGAAACCAGGTGAAAGCATTGCAGCATACATTGCAGAACTGCGCAGGCTCTCTGAAAATTGCAATTTTGGTGTCAGCTAAGAATCCTTGTTAAGGGACAGGCTTGTTTGTGGGGTGCAAGATGAAGCACTGCAGAGGAGACTACTTGCAAGACAGAATTTAACTTTTATTATTGCACAAGAGGAAGCGCTCGCAAATGAGGCTGCATATGTCCATTCAAAAGAGATACAATCCTCCTCCAGCAAAGAGAACTCACCTGAAATAAATCTAGTGAAGAAGACTGATGTTAAATCAAAAGACTTTTCACCACGCACTGATGTCACAGCTCCATTTAAAGGAACTTGTTATAGTTGCGGTAGAAAATACAGGCGTAATACATGTCGTTTTCAAAATACAGTTTGCCACACATGTAAACGTACAGGTAACATACAAACAGTTTGCCAAAGACAAGCCAGTGGAATTCAGACCAAATATAAGAATGTGAATAAAATACAAACCACAACGCACTCTTTTAATACTCCACATACCGTTTCAGATAGTGAAATGACTGCAGGTATTTACTCAAATGAATATGTGAATAAAGTGGAAAATTCGCCATCAGGACTGAAGATTTACACTGAAATTGTGCTGCAAGATGTTCCGTGCAAAATGGAAGTAGATTCTGGGTGCGCATATTCTTTGATTTCAGAACACATTTACATTGTTATGGCCTCATAATTCTCCTTCAATAGTACCTTGTGATATTCATCTGGTGGACTACAACAAACAGGCTGTGGATGTTAAAGGGGCTTGTTTTATACCAGTAAAATATGGTAAATTCAGAGGACACTTACGTTTAATAATTACTAAGGGACAAAGAGCAAGTTTGCTATGTAGAGAGTGGTTTGAACCCTTAGGAATTTCATTAACTGAAGTTAATAATGTATTCACAGATATTCTACAGAATCTGATTGATAAATTTAGTGCAGTTTTTGAAGAAGGTCTTGGCATGTTTAAAGACCCTCCTGTTTCTTTTGTATTAGATTCAACAGTACCCCCAATTCGTACGAAGCCTCACAAAATTGCATTAGCTCTCAGACCAAAAATAGATGTTGAGATTACACGTCTTGTGGAACAAGGTATACTTGAACCTGTAACACACCCAAAGTGGTGTACACCCATAGTTCCGGTCATGAAACCAAATGGGGATGTCACACCCATTGTCGCAAAGCTCTACCCACTATGTCCAACCCACATATTTAATCTCCGCCTACTTATCATAGTGCAGATGATAGGGTCTACTAAATAAAGAGAGAATTACATGGAATTGAGATGGGAATTTCAAACTTAAGACCAAAATAGCCGAGTTGGAAAAACTCTCCTATTCAGCTGCACTATTTTGACCTAAAGTTTGAAATTCCCGTCTTAATTACCTGCAATTCTCTTTTTATTGAGTAGACCTTTATAACACCAAGTTCCCACCAATAGTACCATCATCCTTGGTGTGCGATAGATACATTGGAAGCACAGCATCTACTGTAATGGAAAAAAGTATTTCATCCCCTACTGATTTTGAATGTTTGCCCACTGACAAAGAAATGATCAGCCTATAATTTTAATGGTGAGTGTATTTTAACAGTGAAAGACAGAATAACAAAAACAAAATCCAGAAAAACGCATGTCCAAAAAGTTATAAATTGATTTGCATGTTAATGAGTGCAATAAGTATTTGACCCCTTCGACGTAGTACTTTGTGGCAAAATCCTTGTTGGCAATCACAGAGGTCAGACATTTCTTGTAGTTGGCCACCAGGTTTGCACACATCAGGAGGGATTTTGTCCCACTCCTCTTTGCAGATCCTCTCCAAGTCTTTAAGATTTCAAGGGTGACATTTTACAACTCGAACCTTCAGCTCCCTCCATACATTTTGTCTATGGGATTGAGGTCTGGAGACTGGCTAGGTCACTCCAGGATCTTAATGTGCTTCTTCTTGAGCCACTCCTTTGTTGCTTTGGCTGTGTATTTAGGGTCATTGTCATGCTGAAATACCCATCCACAACTTATTTTCAATTCCCTGGCTGAGCAAAGATTTGACGGTACATGGTCCCGTCCATCGTCCCTTTGATGCGGTGTGGTTGTCCTGTCCCCTTAGCAGAAAAACACCCCCAAAGCATAATGTTTCCACCTCCATGTTTGACAGTAGGGATGCTGGTGATCTCACTCTCTCAGATACATACCATCTCCTGATTCTCCTTTACATCTCGTATATATTAATTAAAATTTTTTTTTTTTTTTATTCTCTTAAAAGGGATTTTACACTTTTCTGATTTTGCACATTTTTTAATTTTGTTTTTACACGATTTTGTTGACAAAAAGTTATAGAGATGATTACCTGATAATCATATATCTCTATTCATATCAAAAAATATTTTTGGATGAAAATAATTTTTCCTTATATATCAATGTACACTATGTATCTTATACATCTCTATTATGGAGATCTTATATATTGTGATATGTTTTATGAACACTTATGATGCACTTAGACTGTATATTAGGAGTGTTAAAAGAATACGTCTATTCTATGATTAGGAGGACTACTGAGAGAGAACTTAATTCACACATATATATTAATTAGTACATTTTTTTTATTTTTCTGAACACCCATATGAGAGCTGTCAGCTGTTGTGCCTTTAGGGCTTTCTCCTCTCTATTAGCTTTGCTGTATGGGCTCTTTAATATAATTTGCTACCTATCTACTTAATATTCATTGCAAATGTGCATGTATTAAGATATGTTATCATGCACATGCGCAGTCGTGATCCGGAACACTGTCAGTATAATATGTAACATTTGACGTCATTATGTAAATGGCCTATGTGTACGCTAGATACACTTCTGTTGCCCACTATAGATGCCATTATGCGGACGTTATGGGAGTTCTGTGAGCTTCTAACAGGAAGTAATTATCTGATTTAAAAGTTTTCCCGGCTGTTTTTTGAGCATTAATTATTTTCAGTTAGAGTTTGTATTTGATTCTCTTACACACAGCTGACACCCCTTATACTTAGGGTAAGTGTAATTATTGTATCTTCATTTTGATTGATTAATTGATTTTATTCACCTTGTTTGTTCAGAAGGAGATCAAATACTTTTTTCTGTCTATGTAGGGATGCATTGTGTATGTGTGTGTAGTGTGAAAGAGAGAGTTTGTGGGTTAGGGTAGGGGCTGAGAGGGCAGCAGCTCTATATTTTTTATAAATTGTACTTAATGGTTGTAGTTGGCAGCTTGATAAAGACCAGTTTGGTCGAAACATTGCCTTGACTGTGAGTTTAATAAATTGCCTATTCTACTGATATCTGGAGTGCCTGGACCTCTCTATTTTTTCTACAATCTTGTCCCTGACATCCTTGGACAGCTCTTTGGTCTTCGCCATGGTGGAGAGTTTGGAATCTGATTGATTGTTTCGGTGGACAGGTGTCTTTTATACAGGTAACGAGTTGAGATTAGGAGAATACTCCTAATCTCAGTTTGTTACCTGTATAAAAGACACCTGGGAGTCAGAAATCTTGCTGATTGGTTGGGGGATCAAATACTTATTTCACTCATTAACGTGCAATTCAATTTATAACTTTTTTGACATGTGTTTTTCTGGATTTTTTGTTTTTGTTATTCTGTCTCTCACTGTTAAAATACACCTACCATTAAAATTATACACTGATCATTTCTTTGCCAGTGGACACACGTTCAAAGTCAGCAGGAGATCAAATACTTTTCCCTCACTGTATATCAGGCAGGTGCATTTTATCACTTTTAGATGAGTTGGAAATCAGTGGTGACAGTACAAGTACAAATATAGAAAGACCTTGTGCACGTGTGCTTCAGTCAGCAAGTTGTGTCTTTACCATAGAACATACATTAATTCACAAATATAAATATATTGGGGAGTGAATATAGTAAAAAAATAAATAATCTGAAAACAGGAAATTAATTATATAGAAGGATAATTTACAGAAATAATTAAGAAATAATGTGTGTGTGCTCATGGAATGTAGTGTATAGAGATACCAGTTTGTGTAGGAGATGGAGTGTGTGTTTATAGGGGATGCAGTGTGTGTAGTGGATGCAGAGTGTTTGTGTGTAAGGGATAGAAAGCAGTGTGTGTTTATGTGTAAGTGATGCATTGTGTGATTCTGTGTTTTGTATGTTTAAGGGATACAAGGTGTGGTTTATGAAAGGGATGCAGTATGTGTACGGGGTGCATTAAGTATGTGTGTAAGAGATGCATTGTGTTTCTCTGTGTGTAAGAGAAGCAGTGTATGTTTGTGTGTAAGCAATGCATTGTGTTTTTCTGTGCGCAAGAGATGCATTGTGTTTGTGTGTATAAGGGATGCATTGGGTGTGTTTAATTGATGCATTGTGTGTGTGTAGGGGGGATGCATTGTATGTTTATGTGCGTGTCTGTGTGTGTAGGGATGCATTGTGTGTGTGTGTGTGAAGGGATGCATTGTGTGTTTCTGTGTGTGTGTAGGGATACATTGTGTGTTTGTATATTTCTGTGTGTGTGTGTGTGTGTGTGTGTGTGTGTAGGGATGCATTGGGTGTTTCTGTGTGTGTTAGTAGGGATGCATTGTATGTTTTTTGTACATGTGTGTTTGTGAGTGTTGGGATGCATTGGGTGTTTGTGTGTGTGTGTGTGTGTGTAGGGATGCATTGGGCGTTTCTGTGTGTGTGTGAGTAGGGATGCATTGTATATTTATGTGCGCGAGTGTTTCTGTGTGTGTGTGTGTGTACGGATTGTGTATTTCTGTGTGTAGGGATCAATTGTGTGTTTCTGTGTATGTAGGGATGCATTGTGTATGTGTGTGTAGTGTGAAAGAGAAAGTTTGTGGGTTAGGGTAGGGGCTGAGAGGGCAGCAGCTCTATATTTTTATTATTATATTTATTTTGTTAATATATTTTTTTGTGTTTTTCATTCCAATTTAGTGTATCTTTTAAAGGCCCCGTGTGTGTCCTTCCCTTTCCCCTCTCTTTGTATGTCTCCTACATCCTCTCAACCCCTTGCTCCACCCCAGCCCCTTTGTTTTTTTCTTTTCTTTCCAGCTCTTTGTGTGTGTCTTTCCCCCCCACCCCCCAGCCTATCTGTGTGTCTTTCTCCTACCCAGGCCCCTCTGTGTGTCTCCCTCTCGAGTCCCTCTGTGTGTCTCTTTTTCCCCTACCAACCTCTTTGTGCTTCTCTTTCACCTCTTCCTCTCTGCGTGTCACGTCCAACCGCCCGGCCCTTAATGATCTCTTTCACCCTTCATCCCCACCCCCCACCCCTCTGCTCTCCCCTCCTGTCCCTTAGAGCTGTCCCCTCCTGCCCCTTACAGCTCCCCCATCCACTCTTGTCCCTTAGTGCTCTTCTCTACCCCCTGTCCCTTAGTGATCTTCCCTGCCCCTTAGTGCTCTCCCCTGTCACACTGTACCTTAGTGATCTACCCTGCCCCCTGTCCCTTGGTGCTCTCACCCCCATCCCTTGGTGCTCTCCCCTCCCTTAGTGCTCTCCACTCCAGTCTCTTAGTAATCTTCCCTCCTGTCCCTTAGAGATTGTTCTTCTCCTCCTGTCCCTTAGAGCTCTCCTATCCCCTCTTGTCCCTTAGTGCTCTTCTCTACCCTCCCTGTTCCTTAGTGGTCTTCTCAACCCTGCTCAAACATGAGGCCCCACTAACAAAAAAGTGAAAAAATAAAGTTGCAATACATGCACACTGTCACATATACACATTGATGCACAGTTTACCTGTGTATGTGCCTGAGAGTGTCCTTGTGTGTGTGAATGTATGTTTCTGTGAGCATGTTTGCATTTTTGTCTTGGAACCCTATGTGTATGGGGTCTACCTGTAGCCTTTGTGCATTGTATTTATGGCAAAGCTATATTTAAAAGAAGGAGAAATACCACAACAAGAGGACATAGTCTTAAAGGTTTAAAAATAATTTCAGGAAGTATTACTTTACTGAAAGGGTAGTGGATGCATGGAATAGCCTTCCAGCTGAAGTAGTAGAGGTTAACACAGTGAGGGAGTTTAAGCATGCGTGGGATAGGCATAAGGCTATCCTACACTTAAAATGGCACTGTCATGCCAAACTTACCTTTCTTTAATCGATTTCTCTTCCTCTCTCAGGATCTGTTCTTCATTTCTTCCTGTCTGCTCTAGTTTTCTTTAAAACATAAGACAAAGTAGGGACTATTTGTCTTATGGATGTTTCCTATGCCTGACCATCTCTGACCAGCGGAGGAGCAAAGTGTGCTTCATTTCTGGTGGTCAGAGAAATTTTCCCATAATTCTAAGCTTTCCTCCCTGTTCCCGCGATGCTTCCTGTCAGTATTCTCGAATGTCCTGTCCTAACAGAATGAGAACAGTTTGCTCATTCGTGTTAGGACGCAATTTGGCACTTTGTTCGGATCGTAATTTCATTCAAATGAATGAAACTCGGATCTGATTCGCGCCGGGCTGCATCTTGCAGCCGCTTAGTAGATAACTCCCTAATTCCCACGGTATTAAGGAGCTATCTACCAAAAGGCTGAAAAGACATAAATTGGTTTTTCAGCCAAATTTACTAATGCAAAGTAAAAATTACTTAGTATTAGTAAATGCTGCTCCTACTCGCTATATCGCGAGTAGGGGCAAGTCTATTAAAAAACAAAACAAAAAAAAACCTAGTACCCCCATAAATAACAATAAGAGGGGACCTCTTGTCCTCCCCCCCGGCCCCCACCCCTGAGCGGTGGGTGGGGGCCATAAAGGGAAATGGGGAGGGGGGGACCTATTGTCCTCCCCCGGCCCCCACCCCTGAGCGGTGGGTGGGGCCATAAAGGATAATGAGGGGTGGGGACCTATTGTCACTCAGGGGTGGGGGCTGGGGGGAGGACAATAGGTCCCCCCTCTTCATTTCTCTTTATGGTCCCCACCTGCCGCTCAGGGGTGGGGGCCGGTGGGGGGTGCGGGACAATAGGTTCCCCCCCTCATTGTTATTTGTGGCCCCCACCCGCCGGTCAGGGGTGGGGGGGGGTACAAGGGTTTTTTTGTGGGTTTTTTAACAGTGATTTTAATCTCCCTTATGCTATTATGAGGGTCATATTGACCCCCATAGAGTGAGGGAGGACATAGGGGGGCTTAGGAAGTGAAGGGGAGCACTGCTCCCTGCCACTTCTATCTTTACATATTACAAGGAGGGAGCTGCGCGCCATAACTCCCTCCTTGTAATAAACTGAACGAAAAACCGAACACTGATATTCAGTGTTTGTTTGTTCGTGTGACTCCGTGGTTCATAAATTCTTTGCTAATATTCCTACAGTGTTCTGCCAGGCTCGTTTTTAAACATCTTGTTGTCATACCCACATATTGGAGGCCACATGGGCACTCCAATAAGTATACAACGTTTTTAGTGTCACAAGTAATTACATCTTTTATTTTATACGTTTTATTCGTTATAGGGTTTGTGGATTTACATATTATTCATCTTTTACACTTATAAAAACCCGTATAGTTGCATAAAGTATTATTGGTAGTGCTGCGTTCATTCATATAATTTATAGTGAGGTAGCTCTTTAAATTTGTGTCCTGGACCTGTGGTGAGTGGTCGCATGCTGTGAACGCTCCGTGCACCTAAGGCCTTAAAAAACGAACACTGATAATCAGTGTTTGTTTGTTTGTGTGACATTTCTATTCATTCATTCGTCTTTCAGACGAAAGGATGAAATTCCCGTTCGCATGCCCAAGTGTTTAACTGGGCACGTGCGGGTATTTCACAGTGCTATCTAGTGTGGGCAGATGACGTGTCCCACAGGGACTTCATCTACCCACACAAAGATGACGGCACCCAGAACATAGGTCCGAATACAAAATAAAGTTAAAAACTAGGTTATGGGGAGCTTAGGGGCATTTGGGGGTGACTAAGGGGTCAGTATGATGTAGTGGAGTCGGGAGGGGGGCTAAAAAAAAAAACAGGATTCGGCCATGACAGTGCCACTTTAAGATAAGGCCAGGGACTAATTAAAAGTATTTGTAAATATTGGGCAGACTAGATGGGCCAAATGGTTCTTATCTGCCATCACATTCTATGTTTCTATCTTAAGCTATGTTTCTTGACTGTGTGTGTATGATTAATGTCTTCAGCTGGTGATTGTGATAAGGTGAATAAAGGGGTACCAGTGGCAGCAAGAGCGTGACAGGTCAAAGGGGGTAAATGGACAGGGGGGTTGTGAGAGAAAATGAGGGACAGGGAGTATGACATGGTTTGATGAGGGAGTGTGACAGGGCGAGTGGAGGTGTGTCAGTGCAATTGTGGCATGGTTGCAGGGACGGGTGTGACAGAATTAACGGGGGTTAATGTGACAGGGTGAGTATGGCAGATGAGTTTGGAGGGGGTGAGATTAACAGGATTAGGAGTGGTTAATGTGAGTGTGGATGCATGAAGAGGCTGACAGTGTGGGGGGGTGATGACAGTCTAGGGAGAGGTGACAATGTGTGGGGAGGTGACAGTGTGAGGGGATGCTAACAGTATGTCTGTGGAGGATGTGTTTGTGGGGGGTGATACTGTGTGTGTGAGAGGGTGATGGTGTGAGGGAGAATGGAGGGGTGATGGTCGGGGGGATGTGAGGGGGGGTGATGGTAAGAGGGAGCGGGATGATGGCGAGAGGGGGATGATATGGGGGTGATGGTAAGAGGGGGTGATATAAGAGGGAGGGGATGATATGAGAGGAAGGGGGTGATGGTGAGAGAGAGGGGGTTGATGGTGACAGGGGGTGATGTAAAAGGGAGAGGTGATGTGAAAGGGGGTGATGGTGAGGGAGGTGGGGATGTTGAGGGAGGGGGAATGGTGAGGGGGGTGAAGGTGAGGGAGGGGGGTCTGATGGGGAGGCTACATACCTTTATTTATTCCCTGGTGGTCTGGTGGGCTCCCTGGTGGTCCATTGGCCATTACTTCCGGTCTGCAGCTCCGCAGAGCTGCAGACCATATATCTCGCGAGACCCGTCAGAGCATTGCCGTGGTAATCCGCGGGAACGCTCTGATTGGCCAGTTCTCGTGAGACACATGGTCTGTAGCTCTGCCGAGCTGCAGACCAGTGTCTCTGATGGCTGGCCGGGCAGACAGGAGGGGCCACGCATACTGAGCAAGCTGCCGGGCCTCTCCTGGTGTCGGGTCCTCGGACACTGACCGAGGACCCGACACAGTCTGCACTTAGGCGGTTTAGGCAGCTGCGAGGCCCCAGCGCGAGGCCTTAGGCGGCCGCCTAAACCGCCTAATTAGAGAGCCACCTCTGAATACACATAAATAAAATATATAAATAACTTTAAATAAAATACATTAAAAATATAAGAAATGGGTAGGAAAAAGGAAATATTTTAAAAATTATGTAAATCGAATTCAACATTTAGTCCATGTGGGTCTAGAGTTTTAAGTTGGTATACCCAGTTCATTTCCTTTTTGCCCAAAATGTTTTTCATGTTACCTCCTCGCCAAGGTAACTTACATTTCTGGATGCCCATTACTTTTAGTAGCTTAGGGTTATTATTGTGAATTTCAAAGTGTTTTGATACACTGTGGTTCATAAATTCTTTGCTAATATTCCTACAGTGTTCTGCCAGGCTCGTTTTTAAACATCTTGTTGTCATACCCACATATTGGAGGCCACATGGGCACTCCAATAAGTATACAACGTTTTTAGTGTCGCAAGTAATTATTTCTTTTATTTTATACATTTTCTTTGTTTGATTGGACATAAATTCACTGGTTTTATTCGTTATAGGGTTTGTGGATTTACATATTATACATCTTTTACACTTATAGAAACCCATATAGTTGCATAAAGTATTATTGGTAGTGCTGCGGTCATTCATATAATTTATAGTGAGGTAGCTCTTTAAATTTGTGTCCTGGACCTGTGGGTGAGCAGTCGCATGCTGTGAACGCTCCGTGCACCTAAGGCCTTAATCTGAGCCATTAACACCCAACCCAGATGGCAACCGACATGTCTCAGTCCAAACCCAAAAGGATCTCGGAGAGACAGGAGAAATCTAAATTTTTTGCCCCAAAAACCAGGCAAAACTAATTCCTGGCGCTGACTGAAGACCAAGACGGCGCAGAGGTGCCGGAGCAAAGCACACAGGCAATGGACCCTCCTGTCACCCAGAGTGTCTTAAAGACCATGCTGAACGCAATGTCTGACCAAATAAGGCAGACCCTACAATCCTCCCTGGGCAATCTACGCAAGGACCTGCAAGAACTGGGGGCCAGAACAGTTACTATGGAAAACACCATGGCAGAGTACGCTGAGGCCCATGCTGATTTGGCTATTAAAATGGAAGGCCTCATGGCCTCAAGACGAAGGTGTGTCGGAACGCTGGCACTCCGACTGAGTACCTCTGCCAATCGATGCTCCTAGGGCTTGCCAAGGACTCCAAGCACTCCACCAGACACCATAAGTACTGCAGACCCCACTTCCAGCGATGCAGCTGCACCGGGGTCTCGCCATCCTTTACCCACCCTGGACCCAAGGCCAGGATCCTGCTTACAGTGGGCAGACCTCTCTTCCTCCAGAGAGCGTAGCAGGAACAAGAACAGTTCTTACAAGAGCTTACCCTGGGGAGTATAGTGTGATTATAGCAATCCCCAGAGTGTAGTTATCCCATCCCCCAAGCATGAGCCTAGGCTTCAGGAAAGGGTCAAGCAGGTCTGTTTATTGCACGCAAAAGGACTTTCTTTTATACAAGTTTTCAGGCCAGAGGCACACCCCCTGGACATGGTGGTAAACTGTGACAAAAGTGACACAAACCAATGGGAACACTAATTAACAAAATAACACTCCCACATACACAGTAAAATCCCTCCCCTCTATCCTGGAGATTATTGGCTTAAGGCACTGCAGTAAACTCAATTATCTCCAGGTATAGAAAATATCTCCATTTTACACTAACAGTAAAAATACATATAAATACATAATTCCTATTATATTACACAGAACCCCCACCTATCACCAGATAGCTCGGATCTGAGCACCCAATATAGGTGAACAGTGCTCAGATCCCACGAACAGAGTAAATTTGCCATTGGGTTAAAGTTTTGCAAGGGCTGATGAGAGATTGAGGTGGGATAAATCAGCCAGTTTAAACTGGTTTGGCAGTGTCCCTGGGACAACGTTCTGCTGGAGAACAATGGGACAGGAAAAGGGGAGGAGGGGAAGAGGCACATTCTCCCATGAAATCAAAGGTGCAGAATTGTGCCAGTTCCAATTAAAGGGCCAGAACAGTCTTTTAAAAACCAATAAGTCCAAATTGTGTTTTTAACTGGCAAAGTCTCCCAGGGACCATAGTCACATGGCAAGAGGCTGGCAATTAGTCCTCTCCAGGCACAAGTGGCGAAGGGCGCTTCATCACAGAAGGGCTCCTCCATACTTCTCAGCAAAAACACATCATTTCAGGCACACTCCCAAGACATTGACAGACATATGTCAAGGGATCACTATTTTATGTGGGGACTTTAACCATATCTTTGACCCGGCATTAGACTCCACCCTTTCCCCACGTAAAGCTAAATTCGGACCCCTCAAGAGACAGTGCAGGGCGCTACAAAAACTCATTTTTTTACACCATTACTATGACGCCTGGAGAGCCTCCCACTGAATGGAAAAATTCTACACCTACTTCTCCCATGTACACAACTCATATTCCTGGCTAGATACGTTCTTCGTTTCCGGTACACACCTTAACCAAATAGAACGCTGTGATATTACCCAACTCACGTGGTCTGACCATGCTCCGGTCATATTACAGGTCAAGGACTCATATGATTTCAAACATCGGAGTCCGTGGAGACTGAATGACTCTGTTACATAATAAGGAGTTTGTAAACAAAATAGATGAAGCCCTTCGAAACTATTTCATAGAAAATGAGACCCCTGAGGTAACACACACCACCTTATGGCAGGCACACTGTCAGAATATTTATATCAACAGACATTTTGTGCTAAAAAGAAATTAAAAGTGTATATTGCCACAGCCACTCAGAACGAAGCGGACTCCATTTTGCTATCTTCAGGATAACAAAAACACATAATTTCCTTGATTTCTTATTTTCTGTAACTAGCCACTTGCTTGAGCTGAGGAATGTATTACATAAACAAACCAAGATAAGCAATGAAGCAAGGGGGATGGAACGCTCTGTCTAAAATGTTAATGGAATAGATGCATTATCTAAACACAGACACTAGTGACAGAGAAGACTAAGTAATTAATTTTACTTTCTAAGTTTTATAAGGTACCATTGTAGTAAGGGGTGAAATTGAGTTTAGAACTGTCAATTTTACAAGTTACGATCAAGTAGATGCCACAAAGACTGAGACAAACGCTTTGAACTGACAGCAAATCTAAGTTATGGTAGTCATTTTAGATAAGCCAAATGACGTCAAAATCGTCATATGGAAAAGTTAACTCTTTCCTGGATAGGAAGGTTTCATTAGACGAGACTGCCATCTATGGATAAAATACATAAATTGCGACCCATAGATTGGACACACCTACGGCTTCCTATTGGGTTATCAACTAATGACGTACAAAGAGTCTGGCCCTTTAAAAGTTAGGACAAAGGAAAGACAGGGGAGTTGGAGTTGAGAGACAGAGGGAGCGGGAGTTGAAATTTGGGGGACTCCAACTCGGACATGCAGAGAAATCCAGGACAATCTCTGGGACTAACACTCTACTCTTAAAACTCTAACACTTAGAATTTTACTGACTTTCTAACCAACACCACCTTTCACTATAACTCATGCACCTACATACAACCAATCAAGTTTCTGGGACTACCTACTCATCTGATGAGAATATCTACATAACTGGTAATTATGCTGGTTTTATTTTATTAATTTAAATTAATTAAAATTTACTAATAGCATGATATATGACTGGATAAATCACGGTCAGATGTCATATTTAGAAATCTTAGTTAACTAAAGAATATATAGTTATAAACATTCCATTCTGCAGGTGGAATTAAGAATAATTATATATTAATGTGATATTATCACGTGTTAGCATACCGTTGTTTTTATCCAGGTGTATTGATTTATTCTAAAATAAGATAAGATATCTTTTTAGGCAAATTAAAATTCTGCTTATAGAATCTGGTAGATTATTCTTATTGGATGGTTCCAGGAAATGACTAATGAGCTGGTTTAAATGTATTTTAATTGAAAATCACAGAAGAAAAGGATACTATATGCCTAGGAGGAATCTATCCAGCATTGAAAGGGTTACTCAGTTGATCTAACTGTTAGCCAGGGTTTTATGGCCCTTCGCTGTGAAAAGCTTCACTTTTTGTCTGTAAGGATACCCTCATAAGTCTTGACAGAAAATGCTGTTTAGCCGTTAAAACGTGTATAGCCATTCCATTGTATTGCATATTATGTTATACTAAATATTCACTGATTATTATTATTATGCATGCTGCCTAGTATTATTGTTAATTAATTTGTTACAATAAAAATAAATCTATTTTTATAACACATTGTGATCATTAATTGGATGGAATACTTTTCACTTACATGATAAACGATCTCTAAGATCTAAGAGAATTGAAATAGTGGGCAATTCTCGACTGCTTAAAATTATCATCCCATAAATATCCCCACAACACAAACCAGTGGTACGGGGACTTTTCACACAAAGAGCTGCTACACTTCGTAATCAGTCCCAGGCACAACTAAAACACTGGCAAACAGACCTCTACACGCTAAATGTACAAAATCAATCAACACCTTCCGCATCCCTTAAGAGCCAAATTCTGACCCTGACGAGACTAATTCACCAGCATGCCCTTCAGGCTACCAAACATCAGCTTAAGCGCCTCAAAGCCAACTCTTATGCTCAAGGCGGGTAATCTCTTAGACGCGAGGTTGAAAGCGAGACAAGCTTCCCAAAAAAATAGCATACCTCACAACACAATCGGGAACCCAAAAGGCATTAGCGACGAATTTGCGTGATGTTACGTGACATTATATAATCTACACTGAGACTCCCAAACATGTCAACCGAATGACAAGGATGTTACGGGCGCTCTACAAATAGTTACTGGATTACCCTGTTTATTTTACCGTATACTCTGTTTCAGTAGTATTACTGTATAAACACATTACACGAACAGTCAGGACTATGTACTCGTGCATACGAACAAAGACCACCCGGCCCTTGGTGTGTGCGGCCACTTAACCTTTTTCACCTCTGAAACAACCGAACGGCCGACCACCTTACAAGCGGAGTGTGCTTCCAATTGACCACCGGGAAGCTGCGGTCTGCAGGTAACCACAAGCCTAATTGACTGCCTCAGGGTGGCCTCGTTCGGATAATAATTCACTGAACTGAAACGAGGACCACCTACACTCAGGCGTGTGGCCCCAATTAGAACGTTGGGTCTGTGGTTAACTGCAAGTTAAGTACCCCCCATCATGGCGGTCTCGGTTCGGCTCACGAAGAGCTGGGACAACCATCCACTGAGCGGTATTCGCACAACTGTTTATCCGTTATTCGCTCCAGGGGTTTTAGGGCCAGGTTCTGCTCTCTATTCACCCGCCAGAAAACAGGGCCGCCATCTCGTGTTCGGGACAAAAAGGCACGAAAGGACTTTGTATGGAAAAGACTGGCTATACCGTTCGTGAGATCTGAGCGCTATTCCTGAAACAAAACTATGAATCACTACTGCGAGAGGTAACAAATACGCTAAAAGCGTGGGAGCTGAAATACTTGACATGGCTGGGGAGACTGGTGGCAGTGAAGATGTTCATCCTTCCCAAATTCCAGTACTTACTCAGAGCACTACAAATTTTCATACCTAAGACTTATCTAACAAAGTTACAATCCCTTTTGACACATTTCATATGGGGCAACCGTAAAATCTGTGTCGCCACTAAAATACTGCAAAAACCCATCGTACGAGGTGGTTTAGGCTTGCCAGACATTAAAGGATATTACAAGGCAGCACGGCTTTCCTCAGTAATAACTTCACATGCAAGGGCTAACCCTCCCTCCTCAGTGGATTGAGTCCTTCTACACTTGCAACAAGGGCTTGCGGCATCTGTTTTGGATTCCACGTTCCAAACGACCCCAGATGATAAACATACCTAACAACACGGCGCTGCTCCTACTCACGTGGAATCACCTAAAAAAACTATTAGGGTTGGAACACTCGTGGTTTCGTGCCACCCCCATAAAATGCTAACACATAATTAACCCCTCCTTTGACTTTAAGCCCTGGGTGTCCAGAGGCTGCCACACCATAGGGCAACTGTTTGATGACACAGGTCTACTCCAGTTTCTGGATCTCCAGGGGAAGTTTAATCTACCATCCAGGGCGCTGTTTTCTTACCTACAAATCAAAGAAGAACTCACACAACATCCAGCACAACCACCCACAACTATCATGTCTTATTTCGAGAAAGCTTTCTCAACCCCCGTCACCCTGAAAAAAGTGCTCTCCTCCACATACAGAGTGCTCACTGACATGCAGAAGGATCCACAGGACAAATTTAGACTGGACTGGCAACGTGACCTCAACCAGACACTAGACACACGAATGTGGAACAAAGCGTTTTATGTGCTTCGATCCCAGTGGTCCGGTAATGTGGGAGAGGAGTGTCTCAGTTCTGTTAGGTGGCCCTCTTGGTAGGTAACGTATAGTCCCGGTTGTGGGTCCCACCTTTTGATGTAGTCGTTGGCTGTTGCTGTAACTGTGTGATCGGTCTGCCGCTGTCGCTGTGCAGTCCACCTCTTACTTGTTCGATTATGTTGGCCTTTGCCACTCTTGTGCTGGGTCGCTGCTGGAAAGCGAGGCAGTTTTTTGGGAATCTCTTTGGCTTTCATTGCCTTTGTCTGCTTCTGCCCTTAGTGTGGTTCCGGGCATCTGTGGTCGGTGTGGCCCTTCTCCGGTGCTTGCTTAGCTTGGGGAGGGAGTCTGAGGAGTGTGCTGTAGCGGAGAGCTGGTATTACACAGCCTATCTCCACTTTAGATCCCAAGGAGGTTCAGGAACAAGCAATATAAATCCATAGGGTAAAGTATCCAGCAGGCAAAATAGCACAGCAGTATCCCAACAGCAATCCCAATTACTGGACGACACACAGTATCAGGAGCAGAACTAAAGATTTATTCACACAGTGGCCTTATAAAGCCTGCTCCCATGCAAGGGAGGGATTTCCATTAATTTGTACAGTAGCCAATCCTGCTCTGGTAACCTCCCACTCATCTCCTCCCCTCAGCCTGCATCATAATTGTAATGACATGAAGGGGTGCTGCCCTGGAACAGCACTGTCACTTTAAATGTGGGAACCCATACAGCAGAGAAATAAATGCCAAGACACAAATAAATAGGATAAATCAAGAGATATATATTTACAGGAAACCAAAGGAAAACGCAAAACAATATATACACACACACAAGGCCACAAAATATATACAGTAAATCAAAATTAGTACTAATCATGCAGGCAACAAATACTGTAACAGTCCTTGGGTATAAGGGTAGGATTGTGCAGCTACCACGAGTAACAGGTAGGGCACAGATCCAGAGTCACAAGACTAATATAGGGACATCTGCAGTCTGCAGGGACAGGATCGCTGGTAGTAAAGCCGGGACCACGGAACCAGAACACAGGACCGGAGGACACAACAACGAAGGACCAGGAGGACACAATAATGCAGGATCAGGAGGACTCAGGACGAAGACCAGGAGACACAGGACACAGGACACAGGACACAGGACCAAGTCACAGCACGCAGGAGCCAGGAACACAGGAAACCAGGGAAACAGGAAACAAAAGGCAATGATCTGGCCAGGAGTGAGGGGAGAACCCAAACTAAATAGGTGCTAAACAAGGACCAGGTGAAGTGCTTAATAAAAGGAAATCAGGAACAGTGCCAAACAGAAACAGTGGTGAGTATGAGTACTGCACGAGGGCAAATCAGCTAAGGAGTGTCGTGACAGTACCCCCCGTTAAGGAGCAACTCCTGGCGCTCCAAAACACCAAGATCCCCCACGGGTGACAGAAGAAAAACAGGGTCACCCAACCAGTAGAGGAAAACAAGGAGGAGGTTCAGGAGGAATAAGAGGCGGAGAATCCCATGGGAGAAACCAACGAGGCAGAATAGAAACATACAAGAGCAAGGACTATAGAGTAACATTTAGCATTAGAAGGGCAGACACATAAACAGAAATTAAAGGCACATACGATAAGAAACACTCCTTACCAGTGATCGACAAATGTGCTAACCCACTAGATCTGGGACTATTGCTGGTAACAGGTGCATCACTCAGAAGTCCTGGGTCTGACTTGGTTTCTGGCTTGTAAGATCCTCGGAACAAAGACTGCGATGCAACTTCTGTAGAAGGGAGAACAGTCTCTGCATTATCTTGGGTAGATACAACTGGAATCAATCGAGGAGAATCCCCTAAACTAGCGAGTACAAGATCAGGAGCACTCTGCGAGCCCTCCTCCTCAGACCGCAGATATGCATCAAGGAACAGTTCCCCCAATATCTCGGAGCATGGGGCCAGCCGAAGCAGGGACGATTCTCTCTCAAATTGATATAATTCTGTAACGGTGTCAGGGTACCTTTGGTGTCTACCTCGGAGGAGGTTAGACACCTAGACGTCCATCCTCCCACGGGGGCTGACTCACCCGATCCTTGCACTCCTCCCGGTCGTTTACACGCCGGCCGCGATAGCTCCGCCTCCTTTTATGACGCGGCGCTCAGTAGCCGACGTCATGACGGCAATCACGTTCCGACCCGTCAATCA